AGATGGCGATCCCGGGCCGTCATACAACTGACGCTTTACCTTTGACGTCAGTTAGGTGATGGGTTAGGGTTAGGGTTAGGTTTAGGTCTGGGGTAGAGTTAGGATCCCATAACCTCATCTACCGACGTTTAAGGGGGCCCTAAAAAGGCGAATATTGACGTATGGTCAAAAGACGTCCCAAAACGTCAGTTATATGACTTTTTGGGGTGAGACTGCGCTGTTCAAAGATATTAATTAAAAGTAGTTATTATCCCACCACCTGTATGACATCATTAACGACCAATTTGCGACAACGCCGATTCGGGAAACAGCCGTGAATAGCTAGTTGATTTCTTCAGCGAAGCATCGTACTATGGTAGTTAAGCAGTAAGTTAGTCGAATTGGAAACACACCCCTTTTAGCTGGATGAGTGTTTGTTCAAAACGTGAAAAGCACATGTAGTTCCAATCAGTTTAATCACCCTTCAGTATTAATGTGCATGAAACACACACACACACACACACACACACACAGTAACTTGCACTCGAGACTGGAGATCATGCTTTGAACAGAAACATTCAGGAGCTCAAAAGTACAATTGCGGACATTAAATGCTGTTTAAAAATATATGAATGTTTTTTTTTTTTTTTTTTGGAAGGTGGGATTTGTCCACCACCTCCATATCTTCAACATGGAGACTACAGCATCATCAGTACGGAAAAAGATGTGATTACTGAGGTATCTTGCCAGTCTTATGTGCTGGACAAGCAACAGGAATCGTACAAGTGCATGGATGGAAAAAAGCATGGTAACAAGTATAGACTCAACTGTAAAGCTGGATGGAATACTGGAAGTGAGATGAGAGCGTATGTGGACGTGTCCTGTTCTGATGGGAATCTTCAGATTGACAAAAGTTGTGAGTATTGTTTGTCGTTTTCAGAACCTGAATTAGTCATGTTGGTGTTCTGTTCATTTACTTATTTATGTATTTATTTTTTTCAGGTGATACACAAAATAACTGAAAATAAACTACTAAAGTGGTAGTTGAGGTATAACCCAGTGAGATTTTAAGAATGTGTCTGCTATTAACTTTCAGATGTTTTTTCGCACTAAATATTGATATATAAAATCACTGATGAATATTATATTAAATCTTTTCAGTGGCCTAATAATGTAAAAATGCAGCATGTAATTATGTTCATGAAGATGGAGAGACACACTTCTATATCATTCTCATTCAGTTACAACCTTATTTCTACCTCCTGTATGTTATTAACTCATTTACTTTTGCCTATTTAAAGGGATAGTTCAATTTGAAATTAATTTTTGATATGTTTTAGCTTTCCTCAAGGGCATCCAAGATGTAGGTGTCTTTGTTTCCACAGTATTTTCAATTTTGATATTTTTAGGTCAAACCGTTCTTGTCTATCAGTCATATAATGGAGGTATATGGGGTCCACCTCAAAGAGCATGCACAGAGAAGTCCAAATTAAACATGATTTAATGACTCGTAAATGTAAGTACACATTGATGGCCTAAGACACGAAACAAGCGGTTTGTGAGAAAACGAACTGTATTTGTATCGTTTTTACCTCTTGTAATCACAGCCACAAAGCGCCAGCGCCCTCAGATCACTTGGACGTGGATGTGGGTATCACACCGTGCTAGTGATGTCTGGATTACAAAATACTTGCATATTGTACCTTTAATTTCCTTGAATGCTTCGATGAGTAGCATAACAACTATTTTTTTTTTGCAAATATTGTAGCAGTGATATCATAACCTTGTCAAAATTGACAAAAATATGACAAAACGATTTTTTGGGGCATTACAACTTCTATAGTAGCAGATACTGAGGCTTAAATTTATGCTACATTTACACCCCTGTTGCTTATTCTGTTTTTTTTTTTTTTTTTTTTTTTTCAAATGAATTTTGATGAATAAATAATGAAATCACACAAGTGAAGTTTTTTATTATTTGTCTCAAATTTTGACATTAAGGTTAAATTTGAAAAAAAAAAAAGGTTTACCCTATTTATTGAATGTGCAAAAACTCAGCTGACAACCGTTTACTTATAAAATTAAAGACCTTTGAGTTTAATGGAGGTTTGACATTTCAATGTTTACTAAAAGTCCACACAAGATCCCGTAAATGACATCAAAATCCCGTAAATGACAGCAAAAGATTTTTTTTTTTTTTTTTCAGTGTGAGTTCATCTAGGGACAATGTTTTTTTTTTTTCTTTCTTTCTTTCTTTCTTTCTTTTTTTAAGCACGTTTTGGTACTTTAAAGGTCAAGAGTTTCAATGTGTTTGAGTATTAGGAAAATCAGATTAATTCGTCTAATAATGATCTTCTTTAAATATAAAGAACACTAGAAAGTGAAAGAATATCTAACAGGTTTATTAACCTGCAAGAAAAGAAGTGAACACATACAATATATTGGAACTTTTGTTTTGCTTCTTGTTTATATGTTACATAAATGTGACTTAAAAGTTTCACTTTGTCAACTTGGCCTTTGGTTTGTCCAAATGACAAAAAAAAATAAAAAATACTTGTGATGTGAACACAAAATGAGAATTTCTTCATCAGAGTCCTACATCTTCATCAGGACTCTGACGAAGATGTAGTTGTACATCGAAAAGTTAGTCAATTGTTGCACCTCTAATAAATTTGCCACTAAGAAGATTTGTGCACCGGTGTTTCTCCCGTTCTGAGTCTTTTGGG